GAGGCACGATCATTGTGTTATCCGGTCAATGGAATGGGAACGACAGTGTTTTCTCATGTTAACTGAAACTTCAGGCACTGATTTATGAAAAAATTAGAAGGCCTTTGCTGTAGGAATAGCCACAAAATAAGCTTTTCTGTTTCGTTAGTTGGTTAACTTAAAATTAAAAAGGGCAGCCTATTCCGGAACCTGAATGAATAAGAGTATTGTTAATCAACTTGCTTTCTATGAAAATATTTTTGATGATGATTGTCTTTGAGCTACTTTAGTCTTTACCGAAAGTTAGAGACTTTGGTTGTGCAGTTATAATTCAGCACCCGATGGAGTTGTACAAGGGCCAAGTAATCTAGGTAGCTGGTTGAACGACAAACTAGAAAAAATCAGCGGTTTCTTTCTCATTCAAAGATTATTGAAGAGCCGAAACAAATAAGGGCGAGGAGTAAGATCTTCATTTAGTTCGTGATCAAAGCTGTGACAAATCAAAAGATGGTTCTTTTTCAAAGAAAGACATTGAGTGCTATTAATTGCCATGAGAAAGGGAACATGAAGCGAGATTGCCGAAAACTCAAGAACAGGAGAAGGCGTGACAAAGTGTGGATAAGAAGCAAGAAGGACACAACGGCAGTTACTACAATATCTCATGGCTCGTTTGGGAAGATGATTTTGTATCAATTTTGTGGGCCAAGAGACCAACTGGGTGATTGATGGTGTTCCTTCATTTATGTGGACTTCCGAGTTGATTTCTTCACTCCTACACCAAAAGAGATTGTTTGTTCGATGGGGGGTAATGAAGATTTGTCAAGATATAGCATGGTATATGTTGCTTGGAAAACAAATTTGGGCTGCAAGTTGTGCTTTAAAGATATGAAGACATGTTCCCGATATTCGCCAATTGATATCTACCGAGAAGTTTAGGATGATGAAGGTTCAACAACAAATTGGTTAATGGAATTGGAAGCCCACAAAGTTCTTTGGTGGTGCTAAGGTGCAAGAGACTCATTACACTTTATTCGATGCAAGAAAAAATTTGTAAAGATGGTGTCAATACACTGAAATGATTACTCTACTGATTGTTGCACAACAGCTTGGCCATATGAGTGAAAAGGAGGCTACAAGTTTTGTCAGAAAGAGCCTTCTACCCGGTTTTCAAAGGTCACATCTTAAAATTTGTTTATTATTTGACGGGTAAACAAATAGAGTTCTTTTCAGAAAAAATGTTGCTTCAAAAAAAGGAAATGTTTTGGAGTTGAATCATTCGGATGTTTGTGTCCTTTGAAAGTGAGAACACATAGTGGTGCACTTTATTTTACTTTCATTGATGTTATTCAAAGAAAGTTTGGGCTTTTCTATTAAAAACTAAGATCAAGTTCTAGAAGTATTTAAGGCATTTCAGGCAGTGAAAGGAGAAACAGGCATGAAATTGAAGTAGGCACCGACTCAGACAATGGGTAAATACATGGGCCATTTGATGAGTATTGTCCCAGTCAATGGTATCGACACCAAAAGACAGTTAAGAAGACTCCTCAACAAAATGGCGTTTGCCGAGAGATGATCGCACCATGTGAAAAGAACAAGGTGTTTGCTTCACAAGCTAAATACTAAGATCCCTTTTGGGGTCACTACTACAAAAAACAATAAAGATCACTACTTTTTTGTGTGATGTTTGTTATTTATCAACCTTTTTAGTTTATTAAAGTGTGATCTTTGGGGGTGATAAAAGGGGGTCATTTTTAATCACAAACCTTAATGTATAAAAAACGTATCTGTCATCACACATAGTTAGGATGATAACATAGATCACACCTTTTAAGTGTGATTAAAAATCTTTAGATCACACACTTTTAAGTGTGGTTGTAACATTTGATCACACCTTTTAGTGGATTGATAACATTAGATCACACCTTTTAAGTGTGATGATGATATTTAGATTCACCCTTTTAAGTGTGATATTACATTTAATCACACCTTTTAGTGTTATTGATAATATTTAGATCACACCTTTAAGTGTGATTAAAAACATTTAGATCACACCTTTTAAGTCTGTGATTGATTATATTTAGATTCACACCTTTTAAGTGTATTAAAATATTAGATCACACTATTTTAAGTGTGATTAATTACCATTTAGATCACACCTTTTAAGGTGATTAAAAATATTTTAATCACACATTTTAAGTGGATTAATAACATTTTAAATCACACCTTTTAAGTGTGATTAAAAATATTTAGATCACATTTTTTAAGTTGATTAATAACTATATAAACCTGCGATAATAAGTTATTTAGATCACAGATTTAAGTGTGATTAATATCTAATAAACACTGATTAATATTTTTAAGATAAGATCAATGTTATATGCATTTTGAAGAATGTAATACACACTATATATCTATATTTGAATTCACAACCATTACTATTGATGGAATAACTATATATTTTCATAAATGAAGTTAATGTTCAAAAAGTATATACAAAGGGAATTAGTAAAAAGTTTTTAACTGTGCTTACCATATATTAAAAAATAAAAATAAAAAACTTGAAAAAACTAAGTTTTGAATTCTTTACCATATTTTTGCATTTCTTCAAGAAATTTCTGACCGAAATAAAAAACACAAATAATCAGAAACCCTAAAAGCATTTGAATAAAATTATATTTTTGTAGACTTACAAAAGACGAAATCAATATTTTTTCATCCACACTGACCTCTTCATCTCCTGCATTTCAATTGGCAAAGGTAACAACTTTTGATTGTTACTAATATAAAAATTGTTGGAATTACCATATATATATGGAACTATATATAGAATCAAAATTCAAAATTGAAAATCTTCAATGTTGAGCAGGATATTTAAAGTCATAAAAACCAAATATACATAGAATTCAACAATTAAAAGAAATCTTTGAAGTGATTATATATTCTTTACCAACTAAAAGAAATTGTTGATTAGTATTTTAAAACAACGAAGTTATATCATACTTATCATTGGTTTCAACTCACTATTCTTTAGTTACGAATTAATCCATTCAACTCGCACTTCATCAAGTTCGGTTTCACGTTGTAAGTCTTTTTTCCATTGAACTGCAAGAGGTTTTTACAAACATTGGATAATGAAGAAGACGTACATATCATGAATAAATAATAATAAAGTTAGAATTTATCTCACATTTTGTTTTTCTTAGATGCTTTGATCTCTAATGAGGTCTTTCAATCACATACATAAAACCACATTCCACTTTAGGTTTGTGACGGGGACTACATAAAAAGATTATTTTATGAGAAACTATATATAAGTTTAATGATCAAGTCTGAACAATCATTCATATTATAAGTATTGATATGATAAAATTAGAGAAAATATATTAATACCTGAACTATTTTCAAACTGGATTGTCCTCCTCCTCTTTTGGTAGTTTTCATAAATTTTCAAAGCACTTTACAAAGAAATTTCAAATGTCAAAAATATTTTTTAGAGAACTCAAAATGCTTTAAAAATGTACGGAACTAGCCAAACTACGATTTGTTTATGTGACAATTTTCCAGCTTGTGTCATTAGAATTAATCGGGATCAAGTAGTACCACAATCATCAATGTGTAGATCAATGACCAACAATATCCCAATGGTATCTACAATTGAACAAGTCACAAGTATTAAGAGCTTAATAAGTTTATTATCATTTGAACACATGAAATAAATAGTTTTAGATAATTACCCAATATTGTAAGGAATTAAAACCGATTGTTCTAGCATAGCCTCCTCTAATCTTCTTGCAAGCAACACTGCTTTTGATTTCTCTCCAGCCATTGTTTTTCCACTAACGACACAAGGGTTAACAAATACAAATTGTTTCCTCCAATTGGAAGCCTTCAACACTTGATGGAGATGACTAATAAAATAAACAAATTTTAATTAAATTCGTAATTCATAAAATCTGCAGAAATAACTATTGATGTAGCAAATTTCCTTACCTTATGTACAACATGATACATGTAACAGATAATTCTTTTACATGACATATGTACTCCATGTCTACTCTTTGAAGTTGGATATTGATCTCCTCCCCAAATATGTCTTTCTCTAGTGGAATGTCTATGGCTTCATCGTACTTGATATGCTCAACTAATGAAACAAAAGATTGAATGGACTCTTGATATTTTCCACATTCAACATTAATTGAAGCTCCCTAAGTTTAAAATTTTCAAAATAAACAAATATAAGTCAACTTTAATTTTAAGAAAGTGTAATAAAGTTTCTAAGTTTGAATATTTTACCTCATCACCGACCAATACAAGATTTTTGGGCCAAGCAACAAAAAATCCCACTGCTTCTCCAACAATAAGCATCTCATCTGGGATAGGTATAGGAAGAGGGGCATCTTTTTGAATAACAACTTCAATAGACACACGTACATTGGATTCTCCTAATGGCACCGTATGAATGGCTTCATTGTGTTCAATTCTCTCATACACCGTACCATGAGCAACAATATTTTCAATGGAACCTATCGCGAGTTTACATGGTTTGCCCTATAACACAAAGTTAAAAATGTAACTTCTAATAATATCACTAACGATATTAGAAATTATAACATCAATAGATAAAAACTACACACCTTTCTCTTATTTTGTTTAGGATCTTGAGGTGGAATGTCGTCCTTAGTTCTCACCATATTTTCTGCTAATAAAGAATCATGCTGAAAATTGCCTCTACCACCACTTTTCAATGTGTTTGAACATTTGCTCTATAACAAACACACAGATAACAACAAAAGCACTAATAAAATTACTAACAGTATTAGAAAATATAACAACTTTAGGTGTTCTAAATGCTACACACCTTTATAATCTTTTGGGTAAGAGCTTGGGGTGGAATGTCATCCTTAGTTCTCACTCTGTTTTCTGTTAAGAGAAAATTAGGCTGAAAATTTCCTTCATAACCACTTCTCAAGATGTTTGAACTAACATGTTCAGATTCTGGTGTATATGGTATTTGTTGTTCCACTGCACTAAGCCTAGCTTGCAATTGTACCACCACTGCCTCAAGATCATTACACTTCTTCTCCCAATGTGACTGATTCCCACGTCTAGGCAAGTGAAAGTAGGTGCTAGGTGTGACAGAATTTGCTACACCCCTTACTCGACTAGAAGATTCAGGAGTACCCAATGCCATAGTAAGAATGTCATTGCATCCTTCAATTTTTAAACTCCCATCACTTTTTTGTTTGGTCAACTCATCCTACAATAGTACATTACTATATAAGAAAGATGAACAGTTAAGATAATATAAAATAAATGCAATTAGTACACACAAATATCTTACAATTCTCGCAGCTTGTTCCATAATTGTCTTGTCATCATATTCTCTATTTTTATTTGGACGAGCCTTTTTCCATAAAACGCTTCTGTCCAAATCTTCAATAGATCCGGTCATACGTTTCTGTCAATTAAACATACATCAATTTTTAAAAATAATCATATCAAAATTGTTATTAAATAATAAAATTTATAACTACTTACATAGTCTTCTTGAAAGCGAGCATAGCCCTTTCGACTAATTCTATGGTTATACTTATTTTGACTTCGTCTCCATTTCTGAACCTGGCTCAAAATCTTTGAAAATGTAACACACAAAATTAATCCAAATGTATAGCATTTAATATTTTTTTTAGGTGAATAAGTCATAAAATAAAACATAAAATTTACAAGATTACAAGGGGCATGCCACTGTTATTACAGAACTATACGAAGTTTGATGGGTCTAGCATTTAATACTGACATTTTAAATAACTAAAGTTTGATTATTTTTACCTCAAACTCTTCTGATAGTCGCCCTACAAGAAATGAGTCCCAACATCTTTGTTCAATGAATCCATAAATTGCTGGTGGGTTTGATATGATCTCAGGATTGGACTTGTTTTCACGTATGTACTTGGTAAGTTCTTTCTTGAATGTCCTCCATTTTGAACAAATTGAAGATAACACATTTGTCTTACTTCTTTCATCCACTTTGTATGTTAACTGAGTAGTCAAAAAATATAACGTTATAAAATTCTAATTTTGATTACACTTAAATACATGTTTAAGTGTCTTACTTACCTCCACACAACTCCATAATTTTTCTTTCAGTTCAGCTGGCACCTCAAACCAGTCTTTATAGCATATCGGAATCATTGTGCGAGCCAACACCCAATCATAGCTTGAACATTTGATTGAATTGTTTCCAATCAATTAACCATTCTCGTTATAGTCAATGGCTTTTCGTACACCAGAACTCCTATCCTTTATGACATCCGGTAATGTTGTCGAACCTCTGTCTTTTCTTTTATTAGATGTTGGTTCTGTTGCTGGTAACCATGCATCCTCTCTATCAGTAGGCAAGACATGAGAAGTATCCATCCTGTGAATAAAATAAAATAAAAATTTAAGAAAAAAATGTCAAATAGTTAGACAATTAAATATAAAGACATGAAGAAAATGAATATAAGTCAAACATTTTAACATGAAAATACAATACTTAGACATACATTCTTACAAAGACATTTTTTTTTTCATCATGGATTATCGAGCCAAGTTCCCTCACAATCTCCTCGCATGTAAGATGACATAGAATCATCAACCACATCTAATGATTCAACTTCTGGCAAAACTTTTGTAAAACCATGATGCTCTATACAAAAATCATTGAACTCATCATCCTTTTCACAAGAATATTGTTTTTGAGGAGGTTCTAGCACAACTGACCATCTCGAATCAAGTTGATCTTGTACACAAAAAACTTGCTTAGCTTGGGAAGCCAAAATGAAGGGATCGTCTTTATGGCCTATCCTCCCTAACTCAACTAATGTGAAACCCAACTCATCCACTCTAATTCCCTTTGTGTTGTCAACCCAATCACACTTAAATACTGGAATCTTGAACATATTGTAGTCAAGTTGCCATATCTCAATAATAACTCCATAGTAACTCATATCAGTAAACACTGGGTTCTTATCCTTGTAACCTGTCACATGCATTGTTGTCGCCACTAAACTAACTCCACTGTTTTGGCTAACTCGTGAGTTATCCCGATCTTTTGTGTGATAACGGCAACCATTGATGATATAGCCAGGGAATTTTATAACATCCAATCGAGGTCCTTGTGCTATCCACTTCAGGTTATTTGAGATATTATTTTGGCCACTTAATTCCTTTGAGACCTGTATATGGTTGAATAGTTAGGTAACTTTTTCTTAATAATATTTGCTATTAGAAAAAGATAAATGTTGAATTACCCCAATACCTTTTCACGAAGCCAATACATAAATGTTTTATTATGCTCAATTTGTAGCCATTTTTGACTTTGTGATTGACGATGATATTTTAGCTTCAACCAAGCCATATGCTCCCTATCAAATCATCAATAAAGCAATATATTATGAGATAAATTTCTAACTTGTGAGAATACAGTTATACAAAAATGTACATGAAATATTCTTACTCAATGTATGGTTGAATGTCACTTGTATTTTCTAACACATAACGATGTGCTTGCTCCCATTCATTACGATCAACAGTAACAACATAACCACTTGATAAAGGCCTTCCAATTTCTATATCATCATCAACTGTCATGTTCCTATTAGAAGGAATCCCGATTGCATCCACTCCAGATAAGTACTCTGCACAAAACTCAACAGCTTCTTCTACAATGCAACTTTCAGCAATGCAACCTTCAGGACAATTACGATTACGAACATAACCCTTTACGATCTTCATGAACCTCTCAAATTGGTACATCCATCTAAAGTGAACCGGTCCACAAAGTCGAGCTTCTCTAACAAGATGCACTGTCAAATGCACCATGATATCAAAGAACGAAGGTGGCAAGTACTTTTCAAGCAAACACAATGTGACCACAAGCTCTTTTTGAATCTCATCTAATTTTCCCACATCCACCACTTTGCTACAAATAGCATTGAAAAAAAAACATAACCTAATAATGGCATGTCTCACATGCTTAGGTAACACAGATTCGTATTGCCACAGGTAGTAACTGTTGTATCAATACATGACAATCATGTGATTTTAGACCATAAAGTTTCAAATCTTGCATTGATACACGACTTCCCAAATTTGAAAAGTATCCTTCTGGAACCTTCAATTCCAATAATGTTGTACATACTCTTCTTTTCTCCTCCTTTGATAACGTGTAACATGCTGGAGGCAAGTATGTTCGCTTCTCCCCAATTTGTGGTGCCAATTCTTCACGCAAACCCATTTCTACAAGATCAAGGCGAGAATTAATTCCATCCTTTGTTTTTCCTGAAATATTAAGTAACGTACCAATGAGGCTCTCACACACATTCTTCTCAATATGCATAACATCCAAATTATGTCGAACATGTAAGTACTTCCAATATTCAAGATCAAAGAATAATGATTTCTTCTTCCAACATTTTGTACCACCAACATGTAATGCTTTTTTATTTTTCTTTCCCCATATGGTTACAAACCCTTCAACCGTATTTAATATCTCCTCCCCAGTTAATGGTATTGGCATAGCTGACCTTCCCCGATCGTACCCAAGCTCCCGAGCCGAGACAACTCCGGTGATGACGGACATGTGGCCTTCGGCACCGAGTCAGGGTTTCCTAAATTCCCCCATTTTAAAATATTTAGGTGGCGACTCTGTATCTGGCAAAGCAGTCCATGTTTGGCACTACTTTTTCAAAAATCTGTTTCTCAAAACGATTTGCCAGATTTGGACTCTTTGGTTCAGATTAAGAACCGTGACACAAGTCGAGTCTGAACTGTGGTAACCCCAAATGAACAGAACGGGACTAACCCTCCCGAGGTGTTCGGTTTATAAGCGTCATAAGCTTCAACACCTACCTCCCACAACATTTTCAAATCATCAATTAGTGGTGCCAAGTAAACATCAATGTCATTGCCAAGTTGTTGTGGACCTGATATTAACAATGATAACATCATAAATTTCCTCTTCATACATAACCACGGTGGAAGATTGTAGGTAATCATTATAACTGGCCAACAACTATACCTACTGCTAAGGGAACTGTGTGGATTTATTCCATCTGCAGAAATAGCTAATCGAAGGTTTTTTGGCTCTGCAGCGAAATCTGGCCACTTGTGGTCTACTAACTTCCATGATGGAGAATCCGCTGGGTGACACATTGTGCCATCATAATCTCTTTCGTGAGCATGCCATGTCAAATCCTTCGCTATTTTTGCTGATTGGAACATTCTTCGAAACCTTGGGATAGGTGGAAAATACCATAAAACTTTTGCAGGCACATCCTTTCTTATTTCAGTGGAATTATTCTTTAACTTCCATCTAGATGTACCACATGTAGGACATGAAGTTGCATCTTTGTACTCCTTTCTATAGAGTATGCAATCATATAGACATGCATGTATTTTCTCATATCCCATTCCCAATGCAGCAAACGT